ATTTGTTGCGTGCTTTTATGTTGACTTTGTTTAATTCTGTAAAGTTGCGTTACTTTGCCTGCCTGAAACACCTGATTGGTCTACTAAAGAGCTAAAAGGCTATGGCTAGGCAAGAGAGAAATTGACAGGACTGTCAGGCAGGGTAATAAATAGGAGGAGAAATCTAGGCTCGAGAAAGGGACAAGAAGTGAGAGAAGAAGGGGAGGAGGATGCCAGTGCTCAGCCACCCAGCCACAGAGGCAGTCACTGAATAAGAAGGAAAGAAAGATATATAGAATGAAGAAATGTGAAAAGCTCAGAAGCAAAACATAGCTAATTAGAAACAGGATAATTTAAGGTAGAAAAGCTGGCTACACAGAAGCAAAGCTAAGGCTGGGCATTCATAGGTAAGAAAAAGTCTCCATGTATTTATTTAGCAGCTAGATGGTAGACCCCTAAAGAGCAAACGTAAGTAAGTAAGTAAGTAAGTAAATAAGCTACATTTAGTAGCCAATGTGGAGCCTGTATGTCACGTAGGGCATGGACATGAGAAAGCAGAAGAAAAAAAGAGAAGAAAAAATAAAGAGAGGGGATATGGCTCTTTTAAGAAACTATGCCGTATAGCAGACTACTTAATGTTTTTTTAAGCTAAGTAGAAACAAGAAACTAACAAGATAAATACCTGCCACAGTGCCAGGCACTAATATTCCAGAGCTGGAGGGCTTAATGCAGTTCTTGGTCACCTACCTCTGATCAAGCCTGCAAGCTTTAGGTTTGGCTTTCGTACACCTAAGGATGTGGCAGAGCTAGTCAGTCACCAAAGCCACAGCAGATGCCCTAACTTAGCAGTTTAAATGCTCATGCAATCAGAAAAAAAAAAAAAGGGAGATAAGCAGTAAAGACGATTTAGATGGGAAAAATACTCTAAACCTTCCAATGTGTTTAAAAATGTGCAGAATCTCAAGAGAAGAGGAGAAAAGATATAGACGGTTATAGAAAAAAGTAGTTAAAAATAGTTAAAAAATAATAAAATACAACTTTTATAAAAAGAAGTAAAGTAATAAAATAAAAGTTTAAGTTACATAAAGATGAAGGATACACAAAGAATCTGGATCCTATATGGTATTGAGCAGCCTTAGAATTTTTTGATTGCTGATAAGCAAATTACAGCTACTTAGACGTATGGATTGAAAGAATGGGATTGAAAGAGGGATTGCTGGAATAAACCAGTCTATGTACTTTAGGAATACCTTAATTTAAAATAGATGTGAAAAACTCTATTTGTCAAATGAAAGTCAAAAATAATTTGAGGAAGAAAGAGGTTTTGCTCCCCACCTCCCCCCGACACACATAGGAAATGAAAGGCTGTGGATTCATTCCTTCAGGTTTGATATAGATCTGGTTTGATCAGGAAGACCTTCTAAATTGTGACAGGTGATATATATCGACAAGACTGCTGATCTTCCCAGGACTTGGCCATTAACTCAATTTCCTGGAGAATACCTAAAGATGCCTTCACTCACAGACAAGAGGAAGCAGTCTAGGAACTACTATGCCCACATTCCCAAGAGGTAAGGTTTGGGTTATTTTTGGTTATTTGATGGATTATGAATATTTGTTATCATTTAGGGGACTACAGATATCTTGCTTTGGCCTATATTTTGATATAATGATATAAATTTCAAGTTATTTTTGTCATACTATATGTTTCTACTTTTGTTTGAGGTATTGCACTTACGCAATTCATTTAAAATGCATTGCATGAGTGAGAAATAAAGTTAGTAGTTAATTGATAATTGTCAATCTTCTAGTCACATTAGGTATGTTTTCAAGATTAGCTGGAATGTGGTGGCATACACCTTTAGTCCCAGCACCCAAAAGGAAGAGGCAGGTGTATATCTGTGAGTTTGAGGCCAGCCTGGGCTACAGAGCTAGTTCCAGAACAGGATACAAAGCTATACAGAGAAACCCTGTCTCAGGAAACCAAAAACCCTCCAAAAAAGATTAAACAGGTATATTTTAGACAGATAGACCATTTCCAAACACTTCAAAGACCTATAGAATATGGCATTTAAGATGTTTAATAATCTAAGTTTTTCACAAAAGTAAGACATGTCTGTTCCTGGCAGCACCAATTTACTTCATAAAACATGACAGGATGAAAGAAACTCCATATGAAATTTGCTTTCAGCATGGCAAGGATAGCCATTTTAGCAAGAAACTGCTCTTGTGTTGATTACTGACCATATGCTGTACAGACTACACAATTAAGACCGAGGAAAAAGACCACTGAATTTTGACAAGACTAGGTAGGACAGCCCTTTGAGAGTCCTGCTTCACAGAAGAGTCTACCGGATCTTCTTCTGGACACAGAGGAAAGTGACTAATGAATTTGCCAGGGCAAGGTGGGACAGTCCTTCAAATTTTCTGTTTCACTTAAAAATATACAAGATTCTCTAGGCCTATAGGCTAAAGATAGATGCCCAAAGTGGCATAGAAACTCTGGGTGACTGTCCAGAAGGTCGGATGTCTCTGTTGTAAGATAATATTACATCCTTTTGGTATCTTTGGTGGAGATAAAGACAAAATATTATAGTTTTCCTTAATTATGATAAAAAGTAAATTAGTAATAAAACGTTGGAATCACAAAGTTAATATAGATAATGGATTATTTTCTACAAATTTGCTAAGTATAAATGGACTAAATATTATAAGTGTAATTTTTACTTGATAACTGTTTTGTTGTATAAAGTTTTATTATGTTAAAGTTAAAACCTTTTATTTTTATTTGTACAAATGAGGGAAATGTCAAATATTAAAGATGTGTTACATTTGTTTACGCTGTACATATTTGTTTAATGATACAAAGGTGAGTTGCATTCTTTTATGTTGCATTTGTTTAATTCTGTAAAGCTGTGTTACTTGCCTGCCTGAAAAATTATGATTGGTCTAATAAATGACCAATGGCTACGCAGGAGAGAGAATTAAATGGAGCTGTCATGAAGAGAGAATAAATAGGAGGAGAAAGGTGTGCTTGAGAAAAGGAAGAGGAGTGAGAAAATGAGGAGAGGAGGATGTCAGGGGCTAGCTACACAGCCAGTCAGCCAAGGAGGAAGAAGGAGGCTATATATATATATGAAAGGTGAAAAGCCTAGAGGCAAAATGTATTAAATGTATTAAAGAAAAATTAAAGAAAAATGAGATAATTTAAGTTATAAAAGCTGGCTATAAAGAAGCCAAGTAAATCCAGGCTTAAGTAAGAGTAAGAGCAAGTATGCATGTATTTATTTGGGAGCTGGGTGCTAGGCTCCCAAAAAGAGAAAAAAAAATTCAAAAAACAAAACCCAAGTACACCATTTCTCTGTATATTTATTGAAAGATCTCTCCTGTGGTTACTACCACAAAGGCATCCCCATATATGTGAGGTAAAAAACTCTTCAATTTTTTTTTTTTTCTTAAAGAACACGATAGAAAGACATGGCTTCTGAAGTACCCCTACTGTGTGTAGTGTAATGAATGTTGCAAGAATGTAACACTTTCTAGCTGGGCGGTGGTGGTGTCCACCTTTAATATCAGTACTCAAAAGGCAGAGTCAGATGAATCTCTGTGAATTAAAGGCCACCCTGGACTACAATAGCTAGTTCCAAGACAGGTCCCTAAGCTACAAAGAAATCCTGTTTCAAAGATAGACAAAAACAAAAATAGAATGGAACACGTTCTACTAATAGATTGTTGCTTGCTCAGAAAGGAGTTTGAAATGGAAGACAAGAGAAGTAACTGAAATATTTCTTCAAATGATACCCCAATTCCAATCCCAAAGACAGCTGTGATCTCCTTGCAACAAGTAAAAAAGTGTCATGGTAGAATCGTTACTTTCTTTACAAAGCTGACTGATGTTAGAACTTCAAGCCACCCATTTCCTCAAGACAAAATTCCTAGGCATGTTCAACACACTCCAGGGCCTCAACTCATCGTGTTATTCTTAGAGAGTACTGTAGCTAATCTTGGAAATATATTTGTCTCCTTTCTGGAATGAAAGTGCTGAATCTGACCTTACACCATTCTTTATGGATTTGCAAAGTGAACCTCGAAATGAAAAGATGAGTCTTTTCAGTTCTTTCTAAAGGTCACCAATGCTGACGAGCACAGTAACCTTTAATTTGTGTGTCTCTAGGTACTAGAAACACCGGCGCAATATAAACTGGTATTTTTCTTTATTTTGTTATCTAGTGCTAATAAAGTTCACATTTTTAAACACAAGCCTGTATTAAAGCCAAAGGGACTATATATGACTATACGTGCCGATTGTGCATGTTCACAAAGATTAAAGCTCACTTATTACAATTTACTTTTCTTAGTAAAAAATAAAATTTAGTAATCCAAAGGTATTAAAGTGAGAATACATTGGTCAATGTAAATGATACAAGGATAGGTGTTTTTTTTTTTTTTCTCCAAACATCAATATTTCTAAGGTTGAAGAAATTGCTCTGTGGTTAAAAATTCTTGTTATATGTTCAAAGGACTAGGGTTCAATAACCCACGCACCAGGTTCACAACCCACTAAAACTCCATTTGTACATAATCTGATGTCTTCCTCTTGCTACTGTGAGCACATATATACACATGCTCATTCTCTCTCATAGACAAACACCAACACATATACATCGTCTTTTGAGAATTGGCATCATAGAAATGGCAGTATATTGTTACAGCATGTATACTTGTTTATATTTAACATCAGTATTAAGTAGATCGTATGTTTCTTGCAGTTATATTATTGTTAAGTACTTTGACATGTTATAAGATGCAGGTTATACAGATGGTGGTACAATTACTACATAATGAAAGCTAAATGAAACATAAAAAAATGGTTTCAAGTTATAAAATGTTGTGAATGAAATCCAAAGTCATACATTGCTATAAAATTATAGTATACAGAAAGCTTACCAGCAAATTAATAAAATTAACAATGCACAATAAAATTGAAAAATAGAGACAAATTAAAAATTATCTTAAATTCTGTGCTTGTTTCAGCAGCACATAAATTATCATTGGAATTCTACAAATAAGATTAGTATGGCCCCTGTACAAGGGTGACACACAAACTTGTGAAGCTTGGAATGGGACTTTTGAATACCCACAATCTTGTGAAGATCTACAGACATTTAATAATTGTGGACACTTAATGATTATGGAGAGTTGAGTAAACTGGTGATACATTGATATAGCCACTTGCAAGGTGTTCACATTTTTATAATAACCTCTCACTCATGATTCCATATGCAATCCAAATGAAAATTGTGGTCAAAAGATTTGATATACTACCTGTTATTATAGTTAATAGCAAAGCACTGTCCAATTGAATATTTCTTTAAACAATTAAATTTATTTATTTTATTTGTATGAGAGTCTTACCTCTGTATATGCCTCTGGGCTACTTGCTTGCAAGGTACTCTTGAAACCAGAAGAGGATGTTTGATGATCTGAAACTGAAGTCAAAGATGATTATGAGCCACCATGTAGCGTCTGGGAACTAACCAGAGTTCTCTGCAAGAGGAGCAACTGATCTCACATGCTGAGCTGTCTTTCCAATCTCCGTTTGAAACATCTCAAATACAATAACTATTACCAATTCTCACCATCAAGTCTGCAAGCATGTATAGAAAGGTATGTTCAATAAATTTATCTTGCCATTCCACAATCTAAAGATACATTAAAATACCATGTTTGCACTAAAACACTTACAATTTTATTTGTTAATAATTATTAATTAAGTACACACAAACTAAAATTCTGGTGAAATATTTTTTAAAAAGGTTAAAATGCTATAAACAATAATCATGAACAAATATTATATTTATTTTTGTAGTTCAATATCAAAGTACATTGTTTATAAACAAGGAAAACATACTAATGTATATTCAATTATGTAAAAGTAAAAGCAGAACGATATTTATAGCCAGAAAATTAAATTTCAAATAAAAGAAATTAAATATAAATGTATTTTTATTCTATTTCTCTTTAGTAGTAATCAAATGTGTACTAAAGTTAAATATCAAGCTCAAACACATTGCAATGCATAAGTTCACTACCCAACATACATACTGCACAAATTCCCACCGTAAATGAAGCCAAGAATACACAATACAACCAAAGAAGCTAAATAATAGCAAATATCACAGGTTCAAAACAAATCCAATGGAGAAAACAAATGATTTGTAGGTGTTGTGGCCACTGATTACACAAATTAAGTTGCACCTATTTACTGAAATAAATACATAATACATATGGCCATTGAAAGTAATGAAGCAGATATATGTATGAAAACACAAAGGTTCTAACTAGCTGGCTCTTTCCATCCCTGTCAGTACTTGGAGCTGGACCTCGGGTCTGAAGCTTGCTAGAGGAGCACTCCCCACTCCCTTCAAGACAGTCAGGCTAAGTTGCTTCACCCTGTCTAACTCTCACAGCCCATGCTGACCTTGCATTTGTGATCATTCTGGTTAGGTTTCCCCCTTAGCTGGTATTAAGGGCCTACAACACCAAGTCCAGCAAAAACAGTCTGTTAATGACAAGTTTTGAGCTGGGAACTCACGACCGAGTGTGTTCACATTATTTTTGAATCCCATCTTCACACAGACATTTTAAAACAAGCACTTGGAAATACAAACTATTTCTTTAAAGACGCAGAGGAAATAACTAAGTATTGATTTCTTTTGGAGAGAAAATTTGAAAGGGAGAGGACAGCTACTTCATGCAGTACACACTTTTATAGAAGTGAAACATTGTCTACATATACACTCTGACTATTCAAATATAGATAAATGACTATAGTAAGACATAACACTGAAAGATTTGTAATTAGAGTTGCTTTTGTTTCTCCTGATTATCAGACTTGAGAGTTAGAAAGCCTTGTTGGGGCTGAAGCATATTCCCCACTGCACAAAACCTGACCTCTATTTGCGCTCACTGATAGAACAGGAGATGAAAGGTGTGTGAATAAACCAAGAAATAAAAGCAGCCCAACACTTTTATAAACCAGTTAGAGAGGTAAGCAATTATCTAAGTCACTGTCTTGTTACTGTGAAAAAAAATACATAAGCAAAACAATTTGTGGGAGGATGGGACTGTAATTTGTGGGTCACAGTCCATCATGGCATAAGACATAAGAGCTTCATTTTGCTTCTGCTTTTAGGAGAGAGAGAGAGAGAGAGAGAGAGAGAGAGAGAGAGAGAGAGAGAGAGCTGGCACTCTCTCGCTTTCTTCCTTGTTCCTCTTTTATCAGTTCAGGACTCAAACCATGGCACTGCCAATGCTCACGAGGGTCTAATTTCTCAATTAAATTTTTCTCAAACATGCTAATAGACAAGTGTGTGAACTGATCTCGAATCCATTTAGAAGGATAATAACAATATCCCATCACAGTAATCAAATACACTTAGGAATAAGTTGATACTTTGCCTCTCCAACTCGCAAAGCACATGATAACTTTAAGGCTTGATGCCCACGGGAGATGTGTGAACAGGAGCTTGCACACGTGACTGCTGAGAAAAGTGAGGAGAAGGAAATGGAGAAATGGTACTTAAGACAGAACTACAAAGAATGAAGGACAGGCTTCCAGAAACAGGCAGGATTTGTTCAGGAGATAACAGTAACAGCAGTGTCATAGAAATATCTCTGTTAATTTTTGCATATGTGTGATATTTTACCACACATTTGGATTGTGGGATGCCTCTATAGAACACTTAACCCAACCATTCCTTCACACCTTTATCAATGCTGTGGTGAAAACTCAATAGCTTGTATCTTTGAAATGTTGAAGAGTACACTGCTTCATTATTAACTATAGTGAAACCACACTTTAGATTGGATAATATTCTATTTATTTATTTTGTGAGTGTGCATGTCCCAGAGCTAATATATAAGACAGAGACAAACTCACGGGAGTTGGTTCTCCCCTTCTGCTATGTATGACTCAGGATAGAATTCACATCCTGAGCTTTGGTGAAAGTAACTAATCCATTTCACTGGTCTCCATATAATTTTAAACACAATTTTGAAAGTGAAAAAATAGCACATTGATGAGAACCCTCACATTATAAAAATATTACAAATGTATGAAGAAACAATTACAGAAAGATAATACCTATGGGTCAGTGCTTTTGTACATTTAAATATTTATTAATCATTTAGATAATTTCCAAATCTCTATAGTGAGCATATGTAAACATTTAAATTAAAAAATTTGTAACAGAATAACTGTATCAAGGATAGCCCAACACTCAACTTGTCAAATCAGGGAGAACAGCAAAGCAACGAAGTAAATCCCACAGCAGCAAAGCAAAGCTTTTCTATTATGAGCCTGGACCTTAAAATAACAGTTTTCTGACATTTGTTCTCCATTTGAGCTGAGTGAAAAGCACCACTTAAGATAATTTGTCATTTTGATTTATTATAAAGATTGCAAGTATAGCTCAATATAGGACTCAACATGGCCTCCTCTTCTCAGAAGTGTCCAATCTGGCCTCCTCAGCATCTCAGGATTCTTTATGCAGATCCACAGTGATGGCAGAATGAAATCCCTTCAACTTTTGTAGATTTCATTCTCTACATCTAACATGATGATATTGATGCCAGTAATATAAGAATTTGCAAAAATAATTCTCACAGAAATGTGTGGAGCATATTACTCTTGCTGAATGTATATACACCATACATATACATATTATAATTAAAATAAACTGTCTGTGTGTAAATATAGATACAGATTGCATATCCTTAAAGTGGAGATAAGATCTCACATTCACAAATACAAATGCATTTTGGAAATGACTTTTTTTAAGGGAGAGGATTAGATTTTCTCAGAAGTGAAATGTGTAAGGCCCTGATATTTTCTGTTTTACACAGATAATTTTAAGAGTAAACAGAAGGGATTTAAAATTTTTATTTTATTAATAATGTGTGATTTATTTTTGGTACCAAAATGATCTTATTATTTTAGGATGGGCAGAGATATATGCAAGAAAGAAAGAAGGCCAAGATTTAAGGAAAGAGACTGGAATACAACATGCACACACAGACTTGAAACAATCTGGTCATAGGGTAACAAAATAACAGGTTTCTCTACACATTTCCCCAGCCTCCAAGAACAGTCACTGAATGCTAGCATACAAACAAAAGGGACATATTGCAGAGGTGATTCTTCCAGCTGGGAATATGAAAGGCTTGACCAGCCAAAGTCAACGTTTAACAAAGGCCTACCATAAAAAACTCACTCTCTTTCTAAGGAAAAGTGGCATGTTTGAATATGTGGCAACATTTCCATTTCTAAACAGTCACTCATATACCTCAAAATAACCAACTTTCCATTTTTTTATATAAACCCAGTTTTTCATAAATATCTGTCTTGCTTGCATTTGCATATGGGCCACTGTCTTTCCATAAACTCAACCCATGTGATGTAGTCTGCGTGGGTAAATGTGGAAAGTCTCTCAGATGGCTTGGATGAATTAGAAGGAAATTAGTTTGCATCTCCCCCCAAGTGGATTGTCACAATCTGTGCATTCTATTTCCCTTGTTATCATATTTATCTCAAAATTCAGATGCCCTCCTCTCTTTTGCCCATCTCCTGGTGAAAACAAACGGACAAATCAAGGGGACATAATCACCTCATGGTCCTATTTAAGGACCAGACAGTAGTTAAGAGACTGGAGTGCAAGAATGAGTATGATTGGGTTAAATTTGGCATGTGACCTTGAAGCGATGTGCCTTGGGAGATGCCCAAGAAAATCTCCATCAAAGCCCTAAGTACAAAAAAGCAAATGCCCTTGCTGTGCTGTTTGAATATTGCTGAATCTGGTGTCTGTCAAGATGTCCCTTCAATGGAACTTCTACTTACAGGGACTGCCAATAGGCGACAAAAATAGGCACCTTCACAGTTTGTTTATAGAATGTGGCTGATCTCACTTCTGAGAAAGTTTGTATTTGACACAATACTTATGTACTGTATTAAAACACGATTATTCTTATTCACACCAAACAATTAAGAGAGTTGTGGATTTCAGGCTCACAGTAAAAATTATTTATCGTTTATAGCTCCAAGGGAGTCTTTTCCTAAACTTCCTTCCACTG